GAGGGATGGGCCCCCAACCAGAGCCCCGAGACCCACGCGGTGGAACAGCTGTGCCCGCCCCCGGGGGTGGGACTTCCGGACAAGATCTTATTTCTATTGGCTGGTCGCAAAGTAAGGCCCGCCCCTTTGGACTTGGTGTTGGCTCGCGGAGACTTCCGGTGACCTACTTCCGTTATTTGCTTCTGTGGACTGGGCTGCCGGGGTCGGTGAAGGTGAGTGGGGCTTGGGACGTTGGATCCAATCCCAGCGGGTTCCTTTGATTTTTCGCCTCCGAACCTCACGCCGACCCTTGTCGCAACACTTGCAAGGACTTCGGACCCTGCGGTTGCTCCGCTGACAGAATGTCCCCCGTGTAGCTGCTGCCGCTTTGCTTCTCAACTCTTCTCTACCCTCCCCCGTGCCCGAGGTCACAGGGTCCTGGCTGTGACCTGGCCGCCTCTCTTAGGCGCTTTCACAAACCTCGTCTCGTCCAGCCCGCCCCCAGCGCGCCCGACCACAATAGTCCGATTTAGGGCCTGGAGAAACGAACGATGCCCGGAGATGGTATAGCTTGGTGCGCCCGCCCCTCCCTCGTGAGGATTCCAGCCTTCGAGAGTGTGGAGCGTTCAGAGCTTCTCAGGTGCAGGGTCCATTTAGCCCCTCACCAAATATTTATCGAGCACCTCCTATGTGCGTGACCTGTTCTAGGCGCTGGGGATTCAGCAATGAAAAAAACGACAGGTGCCTTCATTTATGAAGCCTACTTGCTACTGGTGCTTGGAAAGGTCTCTAAGAGCAGTTATTTCTCTGGCGTCTTTAAAAGTCACCCGCCCCTCATCTTCATTCCAGGAACAAGCTGTCCTGAGAGGGAAGGAAAGGAAAGGAAACGGCAGGTGTTGGACAAGTTTCTTTTTAAGATCCTAGGGAAGATTTCTTTCCCTTCCCTTGTGATCCACTCCATAGCTTGTAAAGACCTTTGATGTGCCAATGTTTCTCTTAATGTCTGACACCGATCTTATTTAAAGTTGACTATTTTACTGTATCTATCTTGGTTTTTAAAAATTGGCTGTAATCGCTGTCCATCTTTTCTCACATTCACATGTATTGAATACCTCTTTCAAGGGCGTTGCTAATATATTCAAGGTATATGCCGGTGCTGCAGGGGATGTTAAACAGGTGACTAAGAAGTGCAGGTATATTACCAATCTGATAGGGAGGGAGTAGAGAGCCCCTTAAGTTTAAGATGTGGAGCAAATTGATGCGCATGATTTTAGTTGATACTTTTAACAGCTTTCAGAGGTAAGTAGGGCTGATATCCCCATTTTTGAGATGAAATTTTGGCCTTGAGGCTGCTCCGTTGAATCCCTGTTGAAACTCAGGTACGTGTCAAGTTCTGTGCACTGAAGAATCAGTTAGTAAAACAATCTGAATGGAAATGTATCTGAATTATTAACTTTTATGCAATGCGTAAGTATCACTTTAGCAATATTCCCAAAGGTACCTGGAGAGCAAACACTGGGCTTTTAAGGATGAGTTAAGGGTTAGGAAATGGAGGAAGAACCATTTAGGGGGAGAAAATATATTTCTATGCCAGGTTGCAGACCTTCAATTTGAAAAGCTAAACTGTCCTCCTTTTCTGATTTAGTAATCCTAATCTCTTTATTTGATAAACATACCCATCAAGTGCTCAAAGGACGCTGGTCTATTTCTTAAAGACTCGCATATTTCTAAGATGACCTTTAGAGGATTCTCTCCAAGAACTCTGTTTTGATCTGACCAATTTTATTTTCCAGGATCTCAAGATGGCTGGGCGCAAACTTGCTCTAAAAGCCATTGACTGGGTAGCTTTTGGGGAGATCATACCTCGAAACCAGAAGGCCATTGCTAACTCCCTGAAATCCTGGAATGAGACCCTCACCTCCAGGTCAGTAGCTTTCTGAGAGGGAGCCTCTTAAAGCTTGCCACTGAATGTGGAAACAGAACAGTGCTTTGGAATTACATTTGAATTTCTAATACTCTTCTGACAGAAAGAATAAAGGAATCCATGTATTTTGCAAACGAAAGTAATATTTTTGCATTCCTATGATCTCCCGCCTAGGGAAAAGTGTGATGATAGCTCCACCCGGTAGGAATAAGTAACAGAGAAATTACTGTGAATTTTCTGTTGTTCATAGAGCAACCTTAACTTGCTTTTCTGTGTGAGCAGGTTGGCTGCTCTACCTGAGAAACCACCTACTATCGACTGGGCTTACTACAAGGCAAACGTAGCTAAGGCTGGCTTGGTAGATGACTTTGAGAAAAAGGTGAGACTTCTGGCAGCTGAAGCTAATGGTCTTATAATGTGGCTTGTGGGTGGGGTGTAGGACGGTAATTACATATTCAGGATGACAGCAAGATAGGTGGTTTTAGCACTCATCCCGAAGGAAGTTCAGGAGAGATGGATGTTACCAAAGGTCTTGTGTTGGTAGATTTAAATGATAAATCCGTGCAGAGAAGTCAGTGTCTACTCATTCAGCAGGTTCTTATCCAGACAGTACAGTATGACCTTAACCAGGGAGCCAGAGGGCTGTCAAATGTTGCCACCCATCTCTTCCTGAATTATTTCTCAGTCCCTCACTTGTCTGCCTTTGGAACAAACTAACATCTTTCCTAACCTTTCACTGTTTTCCTCTCTGCTCTGCCTTTTTTACTGTCTCTTATATCTATAACTTCTTGTCCACCTATCAAGGGCCTAGGACAGTGCTAAGTGCTGGGGCCATAACACTAAGCAGTCATCCAAGGAGACCATCTCCACCTCTGTTATGCTAACGTTACTTCTACCAAGTCCATAGGGTTTCATTTAAAAGAGAAATCAAAATTTCTTCAAAACTACAAGGTTCTAAGAGGGTCATCCAGTCCAGCCGTCCTTTTCAGACGAAGAACCTGAAGTTAGCTCATCATAATAAAGAATCGTCCAACGTCTTCAGTTAGTGACAGGGCTGAGAAGAACCTCGAGCTTTCTCAGTCTAATGGTCTTTGCACCACAATGCCCTACATTCATACAAGTGTCCTCTTGGAATGGAGAATATTTTCATATGGTCTGTAAAAATTAACAGCTTTGAGCCCTTTCTTTAGGCTATTGTATGTTAATGACAACTCATTGTCCCTGTGTTTATAGTTCAGTGCCCTGAAGGTTCCTGTGCCAGAGGATAAATACAGTGCCCTGGTGGATGCTGAAGAAAAAGAAGATGTAAGTAGTTGAAACTATTATTTATTATAAAATTCTCTTAATTCCCGATGGCTCTGTATTTTTTTGTCATTAGGTTGAGGTAGCATGAACTAAACAGAGCAATAAAATAAAACTCTAAGGAATACAGCCGACCCATGACGATAGCACGTCATCAGTCATTGTCTGGGAATCGGAGGGAGGGGGCTGATAAGCTTGTTCACTCTCTTTGACTGTGGCAGTGCTTTCACAGGTGGATACGTATATCAAAACCGATCAAGTGGTACCCTATAAGTATGTACCTTTTGTTGTCTGTCAGTCATACCTCAACAAAGCTGGTTCTGTATGGGCTTCCTTGCGCATTTAGGAAAAGCCGTTCTTTGTGTTCCAAAGCGAGCTTCCTCCAGTTGTCAGGGCGGCCACGTGTCCTCTGTAGAGGGTGGTAAAGGAAGAGTGGGCTGGCTCTGGGACCTCTCATGCCTTGGGAGCCTCGGGGTCAGGACAGTACAACTTGGTTTCAGAACAGAATTTCTCCCTTCTCTTAAAGGTGAAAAGTTGTGCGGAGTTTTTGTCTCTCTCGAAGTCCAGGATTGAGCAGTACGAGAAAGAGGTAAGGACGAGCCTTGGCCTTGGCCTGTTGTACTTGGCCTGTTGTATGTTTTTTCTCCTTCACCTAGTGGCAGCAACCTGCCCCTAACACATTTCCCCCTCCCTCCAGCTGGAGAAGATGAAGAACATAATTCCATTTGATCAGATGACCATTGAAGACTTGAATGAAGTCTTCCCAGAAACCAAATTAGACAAGAAGAAGTATCCCTACTGGCCTCACAAACCAATTGAGAATTTATAAACTCGAGTCTGGGAGAAAACTCTGGCCCTCGTATGATAAACTCTGGACATTAAAAATAATTATATAATGCTGTGTGTGTCCGCTCCTTTGTAGCTGAGGTAGTTACAACTCTGAGGTGACCTCGTGGGAAGTGGGCTTTTTGTTGAAATGGAAAGGGGATCCTACAGGCGTGTGTTGGGCCAGTTATCTAATGATCAGGACATGTAGGAGCCAATGACTGGGTCCCCAGGGCTGCCGAAATCTTAACCGTAGGTCTGGTGGCGGTGCGCTTCACTGGGATGTAGTAAAGAGGGGTCCTGATGTTCTGACTCCCTTGAACTTCCTCTTTGCCTTGAAAGCGCCGGTCCCTAGGGAGGGCTCCCTTCTCCTCGTCTGCCGGGTGGTCCAAATGGCAGGTGTGAGTAGCAGCAGGGACCTGCTTTTCTGCGCTCCAGTTCTGCAACGCGAATGCGCTACAAACGGCAATTTCGTCACAAAGTTAAAATGCTGTTGCAGCACTGTATGTGAACATAGAAAATTATTTTAATTCCATCACTTCGTTAAAATTTTTTCTAGTGTTTATTATAGTTAGCAGGACTCCTGAGCAATGCCAGGAGATAAAAATGGTTTAAAGTAAGGCAGGTGGTAAAGAGAACCCTGTAGACCTCGAGGTCAGACGACCTGGCACGCCTACCACTCCCTTGACCCTTAACTGCCGGTTTTAGACTAATTGTTCACTACCTTGTGACTTTTCCTTCTATCGT